TTTTTTCGTGTTTTATTTTTTTCATTCGTTAAGTCTTTTTCTTTGGTTTGTTTCATTTTTTTGGTTAGTCATATTTTCGTACTGTGATTGTTTTTTCCTAAGGTTAAGTTTGCCTTCTCCCTCCCAAAAAACTAACAGTAAAATTCTCTAAAAGACTCCTACTGGAAAAGCTATCGTATAGAGTGAAGTCACAAAGCCCGCGAAATTAGACGAATACACATTCGTAGACACTAATTCCATTGTTGTTTTGTTTTGTATCTATTTGACTATCACACGCTGACTAGCATTTTTCGGGTTAAATTAATGGCTTCACTCTAACTGCGTGATCAGTTGAAAACATCGTACGGACTATAATGACTAATCGGCTTCAATACCAGTTGTGTTCTTATATTTCAATCCATGTACGAGTAACGTTTTTAAAAGAAAATGTATTAACAACTTCAAATAATAATTGCATGCGTAAAAAAATCAATCAAAAAGATCAAAACTAATCAGTCTATAGGTTTGAAAATGATACATGTTAATAACTGGACAACTTGAAAGTCAGTTTTTATGCATATTTACTTTACCTTGTTACTTCTTGTTCATGGTGGATTTGATATCCTCTCTTGTCTGGTCCCAGCCATGAGTGGTTACAACCTTGTAGACTTCAATCACAAGAGCAGGAAAATATCCCAGAAACACGAAGTCGTCAAACAGCAACTGTTCAATTGTTACTACTGGCACAAACGTAAACGTTTTCTCTTGGTAGTGTTCGTATACATTTCGTATGAAACGTAGTAACTCCACTGCAGACGAGGTGCCGTATTTCTTTCTCCCTTTTCCTGCTATCATGCTAGTGTAAATATTGGGCATGTGCAGATACCCAGAACCATTCCACCTTTCATGCCTACTTATGGTACAGAATCTCAGATCTAGATCTGTCTCGACTAGGGTCAAAGGTAACTTCCTCTTTGAACGTGGACACTGGAATTCTGTCTGATTACCAACAGCTGCTAGGAAATCCTTCTTCTTTGCATTTGTCCAGAACAAAGGATGTTCTAGTGCATCTTCTGCACTTGGCCGATTCCCTTCATTGCTTTGAAGCATCCTCTTTAGCAGGTGAGTGGCTTCAGGAGAAATAGCGTTATCCCATCCTTCCATTCTGTCATTCAAGATGTTGGCTTCTGTTTCCATAGCAACTTGCAGTTCACTTTTATTTGCACAATTAGTGGGATTAAATGGGTGTTTTTGACCCGAAAGGATGTAGTGAAGGATCAGTCCACACGAAAACATGTCTGATGCTGGATTAAAACATTTTTTGTCGACTTTGTTCGTCTTGGACTTAAATACTTCGGGAGCAATCCAACATCTAGTACCAGCATTCGTACCATACACTGTGGTAGACACACTATCAATAGTACGGCTTAAACCAAAGTCTGCAATTTTTAAACACACATGTTTTGGATGACGTTTATAAAGAATATTTTGAGGCTTGAGGTCGCGATGAAGGACCTTTTTTTCATGTAAAAACTTTAACCCCATAACTACATCTCTACAGAGAAGAGTGGATTGGGTGGCAACAGTTATGGATCCATTAAGATACTCCTGCAGATTTCCCTCCATCAGTTCCAAAGCTATGTATGAAAACTCTTTATCTTCAAAGAAGGATAAATAACGAACAACTTGTTCACAGTCAGCAAGAGCGGTGAGATGTGATATTTCTCGCTTGTCTTGTGGTTGCTGCATACGCGATTTTACGATGCGTTTTATAGCCACTTCTCTTCCATCCTTCTCATTGATTCCAGCAAAAATATCACCAAACGATCCMCTTCCTATGGGGTCTSTGTGGTACCAAATTTGATCCACCATTTTAMACTCTTGTCGCCTAGCAACTTTGGCCAGTATGCCGTTATATTTCTTAGAAACGGCGGACCAAGGAATACGAATTGGACTTTCATTGATTTCTATGGGTTTCGTCAGAAGATCTTCAAGATAGGGGCAACCTTCTGCAATGTCGAGGCAAGACGTCCCAGAAGACGAGTCATACAAAAGAAGCTGCTTCGCAATTTCACAGTGAACAGAATCATTAGTCACTTGTTCTTCCTTTGGCTCTTCTTTTTCTTCCTCACTCTTTGATGACCTATCTTTTCTTCTTTTCTTTGAGGGTGGTTGCCCATCACTATTGCTTGGCTCTTCTTTTTCTTCCTCACTCTTTGATGACCTATCTTTTCTTCTTTTATTTGAGGGTGGTTGCCCATCACCATTGCTTGGCTCGTCTTTTTGATTTTGCTGAAAAGAATCTGGCTTCTCATTTTTAATGTTTTCACAGCAAAGACGAAGTGGTGAATCCAAAGAAAGATTACTTTTATTAGCTGATTCAAGGATGACTTCCACCAACTTGGTCTTCCAATGTGTATGACCAGATTTATCTTTACAAATGACGTTTAAAAACGAAAGCTTGACTTCATTCGTAGCGTAGTTTTCCTTGCAAGTAACTTCAAGCAACGTTCGAGCAAGAATAAAAGCTCCTGTTCGAATGAGAACACTCAAAACAGACTCGTCCTGCTTGTCAGCTGTCCATGGATCAAGTCCTCTTTCGAGAGCACTTCTCCAAAAGGCTTCTGGGTCTTCTGTAACATCAGGATAAAAATAATCCGATTTTAAACGAAAGTTTTCCAGCTTAGCTGCAACAAGGAGAGGTGAACACCCTGATGAATCCACATGCTTTGGGTTTGCTCCAGCACCTAACAACAACTTCACAGCGGTCCATGTTTTGCACAGATGCAAGGGAGTTTCTTCGTTCGCATTTCGCGGGTTGAGTACTGCTCCACATTTCAAAAGATGGCGCAAACTTTTTTGTAAAATGTCCTCAAACGACGTCTTGTAGTCTTCAGTTTCACAGCTTGCGTAATCTTGAGGCGATTTTAATGCAATGGATGCCCAAAGGTGCAGTGGTGAGTTTAACTGATTATCAGTGTTGTTCACAGCTTCTTTTGTAGACGTTAGTACCTTCAAAACTTCGATGAATACCCTTGAAACATCCTTTATTGAGGCTTCATCATTTAGTTCGCGGAGACTCTGGTGGATAAGCAAGATTATCCGATGAAAAACCGACTCGCCGTTCTGTGATGTGTCGTTGATACTACATCCATTGCTCAACAAAAATTTACAGACTTCTTCCAATCCCCTAATCGACTGCCATTTGTTGTTTCTACAAACATCTTTCCAGATATCCGATGACAAACAAAACAATAAAGGCGACTGACGTTGGTGGTTTTTCACACTGAATATCGCCCCAAACTCCTTGAGCTTCTTGCATATACTCATGACGGTTACTTGTGTTACGCCCAAAAGTGGTAGAATGGTCACATAGTGAAGAGCTGTATTTCCATTTGAATCAGCAGCCATGGGATTGGCACCCAGTTTGTTGAGCAAGAAAAGAATAGACGGCACATCAATCATGTTTTGGCCTGCGTTTATCAATGACCTAATCTTGTCAATGGCCATTTTCCCATACTGACTTGAACATCGATCTCGAGCGAAAGTCAAAACATCTAAAACATTTGTTTTGTTAAAAAATATGTTTGGCTTTGGCAAATGAGGAGAACCATTGTCAGACAACACTGACAGAGGAGCTTGACAATAGAGTATGTCCAACGTTGCGAGAGCCAACGCTTTCAGATGTTGCGGTTTTTGAAATATCTCAGTAGACTTACGTAGCATAGATTCTACACTGCTGTTTGTGACTATGCAGTTTTCGACGAAGAAAGAAAACATGCTTACATTGCAGCTGTCTTGTAATTGAATATTGCCTCCATTCTTAATAAGATTCCGAGCTTTTGTTGCATTAAATTCTCCTACAGCATAGAAAAGTGGAGTTCTGCCATAACGATCTCTTGAATTTGCGGAAAATTCATAATTCACAATCAAGTCGTCCAAAATCTCGCCATCGGCAAAAAACACAGCAGTTTTGCCCTCGTCATCAGTCGTGTTAAGATCAAAGCCCGCATTAGATAATGGCTGTAATACCTCTCCAAAGTTATATTCAGCAGCCAAAAACAAAACAGCTTTTGTATCAATTTCATCCAATTTAAACTGAGCATCACAACCAATCAACCTACAAAGTACACCCATACATTGGTTCTTGTTAGCATGAAACACAGCAGTTTTGCCATTGTCATCAGTTGTGTTGAGATCAAAGCCCGCATCTGATAATGGCGTTACTACCCCAAGAAACAGGTCATTTTTAGCAGCATGAAACAAGACAGCTTTTCCATCAATTTCATCCAAGTTAAACTGAGCACCACAACCAATCAACTCACAAAGTG